ATTTTTATAGTTTTTAATTTAACGTTTAATATATAGTTTTATAATTTTTTTAAATCTACATGTGATAAAATTATATATATATTATTAAAAGCAAAATACAGTTATATATTATATATAGCTATAGCGTGACTCCAGGAAGATAATGGTATCTCTGTGATAAGCCTTTACTTAAATTTAGGGTAAATTGCATATTTCAAGCGTGCGTTACCTGGGAGATGTAAACAACTTCATTATGGGTCTGTTTCTTGTAATCTCTCGCATTCTATCGTTTACATTCAAAATGAAATATATACATATTCAGATATTAAAAACAAAAAGGGATGGTAAAAGGTGAAGAATTGAAGGAAACGTACATAAAGGATGCAGTCGAGAAAGAAACAGAGATATCTATTATAGATATATTATTTTTATCGATTAGTTATTTGTAAAAGAGCTTTCCGAATAAAATGGCAGTGTCCCTGCAAACTCGTGTCCTTTACGGTTTAAAAACAGATATTATCGGTAACGCACATTATATCACGGATGCGGAAATTTTGTATCCGGTTGGCAATGTATTGGCGATTCATAATATTCTTCAATATCAGCAAAAGTTGATTCGATTGCCTGATAAGCAACATGTAAATGTTATTTGCGTCTCGCCTAACAAGTAAGTAAATTATATATTGAGAAAAAAAAGATATACTTTTTTCAAACAGATATAATAAATTAGAAGAAATTAATTTCTACGAAATAAAATAAAATAAAGTTAAATGAAATAAGTCCGCTCGTTTTTTTTTGATTTTAAAATAAAAAGAAACTTTAACAAATAGAAGGATTCATATATCTTCATAAAATAAATGCTTGTCAATTCATTTCAATTTTTTCATTTCTTGCACATGACGCACAGATATAATTCTAATTCGTTGTAATTTTAAAGAAAATACGTCGCTTTATCCGAAGTGGGGGACAAACCTACTATATCCGTCTACGACCTTAACTCTCTGAAGCGCAGAAAGCTGCTCGGAATACCTTTCGATGCGCCGGGAGTAAACAGATTTACAAGCATAGGTTTCACCTTTGATAGTAAGAATCTAGTAGCGATTACCGGCGAACCTGATCAAACAATGCTCTTCTACAACTGGGAGAAGGGTAAGGTCGAGTCGACGTCCAAGCTGGCAAATCCGCAAAATCCCTTGGCAATCGCCGAGATATTGGCCTGCAATCCGACAGACTCGGCTGTGGTGGCGGTCGGCGGCCCATATAATTTCAAGTTCCTCACCGTTTCCGAGACGGTGTGGCGTCCGTACGGTTTTACTAAGGGGGAGAACCTCCTCGTTTGCTCGATGACTTGGCTGGACGGTGATCGACTGCTCGTCGGTACCGAAGAAGGTCGCGTGCTCTATATGGAGAACGGCGACTTGAAAAACATTTACTGGATATCAGACACGGTGTCAATGAACCTCAAGATCCGTGAGGAGTACGTTATGCCCGTTGTCGCCGCCGGCTTGCAGATAACATTGGACGACACTCGCGACGACATCGCCTGGGAGCAAAACGTGCGCTGCTTGATCGGATTTCCGCGAGGTTTTGCCTACGCCCACGGCGCGGGAACCATAATACTTTTCGAAAAGGAAGGGAAGCACAAGTATACAAAGAGAAACGTCTACGTGCTTCCGGAGCGGGTGCTGAAGGACGACAATCCGGATCTGTATAAGATCAACACGATCGATGTAAATCCCGGACTCGACCAGCTGATCATCACCGCCGGTTGGTCTCAGCTGTATTACGCTGCATTGTGGGGTCCGGATCTGCAAAGGGACCCAAAACCGCAGAAGCTTAATGTCATGGGCCAGCCGTTGCATCATGGTCCCATCAGCGGTCTCGCCATGTGTGCGTGGAAGCCGGTCTTCATGACGTGCGGCGAGCTGGATCGTAGCGTCCGACTATGGGACTTTGAAACCGAGAGCCTGATCATGCTGAAACAATATGCTGAAGATATATCTGGTATCGCGTTACATCCAATGGGACTGTTTTGTTTGATCGGCTTCAGCGACAAGCTGCGTTTCATGAGTATCCTGATCGACGACTTGTTGCCGATGCAAGAGATTGCCATCAGAAACTGTAAAACGATTCGCTTCAGTTACGGCGGTCACTTATTCGCTGCGGTCAGCGGCAACGTTGTGCAAGTGTACACCACCATCGGCTTTTATAATCCCTTCGTCCTCAAAGGACACACAGGCAAGGTGAAGGCTCTCCTCTGGTCGCAGACGGATCTGAAAATGCTAAGTATGGGCACGGAGGGTGCCATATACGAGTGGGACATGACCACCGGCACGCGATCCAGTGAAATCATCTTGAAGGGCATCATCTTGCACGACATTGCGTTCTCTTCGGACACCTCGTTCTCTTATTGTATCGCCAATGACGATCATATACGCGAAATCAAGGAGAATGCGGTATGGAAGTGATATTTTTTTATATTTCAAATTTTGAATTTGGAAGTGTATAGAGATTTTAAAAAGATTATGCTCTTCTCTATTTCTTTTTCTTATTAGGTTATTCGAGAGTTTTGTTTGCCTGGTAGAGAAATGCATCAAATGATCATGGGAAAAGATGATCTGACACTATTCGTAACTTCTCCTGGTGGTATTATTATCTCATTGAAGAGCCCGCTTCAAACTCCGATAGAATCGCTAGACTTTCATATACACAGTGTTGATATTATAGAGGTAGCGATACGTTATTTAAGATCTTTTGCATAAATCGCTTTTCTTAATTGTTCTTTCTTTTCTTTCTTTTTTCATTCTAGATCGCGCTCTCTTACAATGAGAATTGTTTAATCTCCGTTGCGAAGGATGGTAGTTTATGCATTTGGAAGTTATACTATCCCGAAGGAAAGGTAATGAAGATGAGCAGAGATCTACCATACACGCACGAAGTGTTAATCGGCAAAGGCGATTTAGAGGAAAAGATACATACGATCAAGGATCTGACGGTAAGGATGAGAGAGTTGGAAACCGAGCACGCGTATAAACTACGACAGATTGATGTACAACATAACGACAAGTTACGCGACGTGCATCAAGGCTATTGCGAGGCAATCAAGGAACTTCGAGATAAGATTGAGAAGCTTCAGGAGGACCATGTAAATGAGATCAATAACATAAATGTGGAAATTGTGAAGATGAAGAAGGCTCACGAGGCAGCAATGCAACAGATGGAAAACAATTATGAGATCAAATTAATCACAGAATACGATAAGTATCAGGCATTCGAGGAACGTACCAATATCATGCGTGAAAACTATGAGAAACAATTAAAAGATCTTGAGAAGCGCGACACGGAGGAGCTACAGAGAACCGTGACGAAGTACGAAGGTCTGCTTCACAAAAAGAAAGTGCAATTGGAAGAAACGTCTGACGAGATGACGCACAAAGAACGCGTTCACGAGCATTTAATGAAGCAGATAGAGGATGACGCGGATCGTGAGATTCTCGGAGTACGTACAAAGTACGAGAACTTGCTGTACGAGGAAAGACAGATTAATTTGAAGCTCAAGGGAGAGGCCGGACTGATGCGAAATAAATTCATGGCCAGCCAGAGAGACGTAGACGATCTGAAAAGACAAGTGCACCGTGTGCAAAGTGAATTCGCACAGTTCCATAAAAATATACAAGATCTGGAGAAGCAGATAGCAGAGCTAAAAAAGGAGATCAGCGAGAGGGATGCTATTATTCAGGATAAGGAGCAACGGATATACGACATGAAACAGACGAATCAGGAATTGGAGAAATTCAAGTTCGTACTAAATTACAAGATACAAGAATTGAAGAATCAAATAGAGCCGAGAGATCGCGAGATACAGGAGCTGAAGGAGAATATTCGGGACATGGAGGCGGAGCTCATGAGTCTTCACAAGACCAACGTGAATCTGGAACTGCAGCTGCACGAAGTGCGTGAGAAATTGCGCGCCGCGCGTCAAGAGCTCGATCGCGAAACGCATAGAAATAAACGGTGTGAACAGCTTGTGCGAAAAATTCGCGTAGATATTCTCGATGCCGCGGGACTCATACAAGAGCCAAACGCTTTAAAAACGGCGGTAAAAGATTTATATCACAAATACAGCGCGGACGATGAATTTTTACGTAGTCGCAAAGCAGATGTGGACGCGCAATGCGAATTCATCAAGCAGAGAGGCTATTTGGAAAGGACCATTACGTCCCTAAGGAAGCAGGTGTCCCAGGACACGTCTACCGGTGATAAAGGTTTGGAAAAAATGATGGAAGAGAATAGCACGCTTATCGTGGAGCTAAACGCTTTGAGGCAGGAGTTGAAAGAGGCACGACAGCATATTTTCCATATGGAGAGTCTCTTGGGTTTAACACGAAAAGATGTTCAACCCGCAAAAGCGAGAAAGAAGCTGGAGAAAGTATATCGCGGGTACGAGGAGCTGCAGGAAAAATATACGACGCAAATGCAGGAGTATCAGCAGGTTATTCTAGCATTGAAGGAAGATATCAAACGACTTCTGAGCAAACTTCCTTGTGAAGAGACGGAAGAAGAAAAGAAATAGTTTTAAACGATTTCGCGATATTAAATATACACGTTTTTTTCGGGAACATGAGTATTTTAAAAATAATTTTAATAACAAATCATTGTTTTTCAATAATTATATGTAGTGAATTTTCAATTCCTATTGTATATTGTAATTTATATATGTCAATATATGTATATATTATATTTTTTTTATTCAGAAAAAGTAAGTAAAAGAGCATTATATATCGTAATATATATAATTATAGGAAAAGAAAGATAGTTAACCACATATTCTGAAAAGATGATATAAAAATAAACCAAAATAAACCAACATAAAATGAATTGAAACCAAAATGTACATATCTCCTTTATACTCGTATAAATTTCATTATGAAATTTAATATTACTGTTTGCCTTACAGTCAATAATCGTAACTTATAGATAAATAGATTTATTAATATTTATTTAAAAAATAAAAAATTGGAATAGTATTAAGAGTTTTCATCATCACATAACTTAAGATTTCAAAATGCTTTGATTTAAAGAATAAATGGAATGATAGCTTTACGATTTTTCGGATAATGCGAGAACTCTTTCTTATAGGCTCTGTGTTTTCCTAATGCCCATACAGTCATTTGATACGCGCCGGCAAACGTAAATAGACCAGCTGAAAATTGAAATATACGAGTCAGTAAAACTTTCATTTGCATTCAATGTCAAAGATCAAAAACTTGTGCATGACATTTCCATTGTGTACACATACCTGGAAGACAAGACGTCATTACGGTGAAACCAATCCAACTGCCTATTTCGTATGTATAGTTGGGACAAGAGACGAATTTGAAGAGCGCAGTGAAAGGATTATCAGTCGGCATAGGAACTTTTCTGACCGTGGTACCTGGTGGTCTTAAATTCCTCAGAGCTAAATGGATGCTCAGATTACCCAGCTCACACAGCGCAAAGGTCGCTGCTCCAATATAGAATTGAAGAGCACTGGGAGCTGTATATAATGGATGATTTGTATGATATGCTACGTACATAGCAAATAGCCAATAATAGGAACAATTTTTGAATAGATTACGCAATGGCATTGTTGCGTGACTAAAACGATGAATAAACAGAGTTTCCAGTAGACGTTTTGCATAATGCACTGTCCAACCGACAGCTGCCCAACTGGAAAGAAAGAAAATAGTTACGTAAAATATCTAATGCTTAAAAAAAATGTTCATGCAAATATGATTTAAAATTTTTACAATGAGTTATAAAGCAAATAAAACAGAATGACTTACTTAGCTACATAGTGATAATTGCTGATATTGACATTTCCATAAAACAACCATGGACGTTGATACAACCAAAGATACACTACTAATGGTCCTGCATATTCCAACAAAAATACAGTCTTCCAGCCAATTTGGGGACCAAGATCCTTGTAATAAAGTTTTCCGCTTGGCTTTAGTGATAGAGATTTAATTGTTTCCGAATCAGACAATGCTTTTCCTTTCGTTTCCAATCTCAGACTTTGCCTTTGAACGTAAGGTGCCTTTTTTAATTTATATAATTGCTGTTTAATTTCTCCTATTGTAGTGTTCGAATTTACCTGAAATAAATATACATATTACATAAAAAAATTTTATGTTAAGTCTCATTGATTTTTCCAATCCAGGAGAGAGACAAAAAAAGTCAAATTTAAAATTAAATTTTTCAATTACCATATTCCAGCATTAATTAATCTTTATTATATTTTTACTTACATTGACGTTGGTTATCAATTTTGAAGACTTTGCCGATAGGACTTCAATCTGAAAAAAAAAAGAAAGAAAAATAAAATACAGTGTAGAATGAGTACAAAAAAAAAAGAAAAATAAAATATACAGTATGTAGAATGAGTACAGGTACACAAACTCTCACGTCATCAAAATCACGATCTTTCAATGTAATGATATATATGATAATATGCCAATTTTTACCTCCATTTTCGTTAATCTCAAACGGTTCCTTCGCGTAAAGGCGGTTCTCTCTCTCTTGTCTCTTCGCACGACGAACACTGACACTGACTGACTCTACTGGCAGTCCCACGTCCCACGTCGCACTTCGCACTTCGCACTCTCGTCTCTCGTCACCCGGTCACCGTCGTCGACGTAGATTTTGTTATCCGCATGTAACTTCTTGCCGATGACACCGCGCGGCGCCGCGTCCGTGACCACGTGACCGACAACCTTGCAATTTTCGATGATCAATGGCATTCCGTTCGTTCTTGGCGGGCTCGGAGAATTTGATAACATCAAAGAGAAAGAGAGAAGGAGCATCGCGGCGATAACCCCTTATTAAAAAAAAAAAATGAAGAAAAATAAACAGAAAAAGATACATCAAATCTCAATCATGTGCACGTATAATGTGATTATCGTGTGCGACTTTGAAATCGTATATGCAAATTATTTGTCTCTCGGTGTCAAATATGTACATACTCGTACCTTATTTCGCATAATGTATATATAATTTTCAACGTAGAACGACGCAGCCGTTTTTGTAATATTCACGTAAGTACAGTATAATAAAAAACCTGCTAACGCGAGCAAATATTTTATATTATGTAACGCCTGTCACTCTTCCCGTCGTTTATATATGAAGCACGTGTGACTTCTTTCCCTCTTTTATAATTATGTAATAGTACATGTAATTATGTAACATATATTATACGATACAACATTTTTTATTGATATATATTATATATTATATAATTTTCTTTTACATAACTGGGATCTTAAAAGCTTTCGTATTATCTAAAAGAATAAATAATAGCACATATAGCACGTTTTTTCTCTGAATAGATGTAATTAAAATTATGTTCATACGCGTTCGCAAACCAAAGTTGATTTTGTCTTGTAAACTTTGCATGTGATATTAAACTTTAGTCATTTGGTTCCTCTTGATATACATTACAGTATGCAAAAATGATTTGTGAATGTAACATATATATTAGAAATGAAAAAAATATTCAATACAGATTTTTTAAATAATGTCCGTATTATCGAGTATAAACAACGTGATATATAAGTAAGCGAAAGATATGAATACTCGATAAAAAGGAAAGGGATATGGTGAAAAATACGTGTGTGCTTATAGTTAGATTTAATCTAAATAAGAAGTATAAAAAAAAAAGTATTTTTAATATTCTGTATGAACATCCTTCTATACCGCGTTCCTTACTCACCTACTCATTCTTCTACTTTTTCGCACATGAATGCGTGAGACTCTTTTATAAAGGCAACACAAATACCATTAATAAATGATGACAAAATCAACTTCTTTTTTCTTTTAGAATTAAGTAAGTTTTTTCATGTTTACAGTGTATACATCTTCTTAGAAAGATGGTACGACATATCGCGCATCAAAGTGCTCACAAACACTTGTACCACGTAAAATCATATCGCGTTTTTTTTTGGGTCGCGTATTTTTATAATTTTTTCATTATTTGGCAATCCTTTGACGAATTCGATGAAGACGCCGGGAACGATAGAGTAGCCCGCATTTACATCCACAGGCAAGAACACGTTCCATTATAAACGCGGTTTCACAATCGACTTTGGATAACGAGCGAGAAAAGCAACGTTACAAATAATAGGTAATTACGGCGACTCATAATAAGATGGTTTATTATCAATTGTGCACGGTCGATCAGATAGGTACTATCGGGTTTCCTCGTGCTTTTTTGCAGATGTCGCATTCTGCCGCATTATGCGTTTGTTCCATCAATAAAGAATCGCTCAAGGATAATATGCATGTACAATATAAAAATAATATAAACTCGATAAAAATTTTGTAAAAATTCTAAAAATTCTCAAATATTAGTTTACACACAAAAAACAAGATTTCAAAAATTATTTAATAAAGCTTGTTGCGTATACACTGAGAAAAAAAGATTAACTATAATTGCATAGCAAAAAAAATTATAGTTTATTCATATTTTCATAGTTATTATTACTATATATATATATATAATGTTGATAATAAACTTTATGCGTAGTAATAATAATCTAAAAAATATATTGCCGCCAAAATAATTCTAATTTATAATTACTATAACTGTTTTTTTCTCTTAGTGTAAATGTTTTAGGCAATAACGTTACACGCACACAAATAATGTACAAAGAATAGTGAATTCATTATAAGTTAATTATAATGTAATAAATATTGATGAGTTCTCACACATTTCGAAGAATTGAAAATCTTTATCACCGATCTTGTCGTTGATGTCGCAATAAAATAAATAATACGGTCCCAACATTGCCCTTTAAATTACCCCTGTGGCTTTCCTATATTGGCCAAATTGCTCTAGATATTGATGTATCGTATCCATCGGCTGGTAAATTTCGTTCATTCGGTTCTGCAAGAAATATTTTCAATTTTAATAAATAATAATTCTACGTTTCTTATCAAAGTAATATTTCTCTTTTGTAATTACGCAAAAACTCGTACACGCAGCTCGCTTTATACGTAATTACGTGTTTTATAGTATAATAAGTATTAATGACCTGGAGATACTGGGGCGCTTGATTCGACACGGCCGAGCCCAGGAATCCTTGCAGAAATTCGCGCATGAGTTCCCACGAACCTGCTGGCACGACGCACGGTCTGTACTCGACCTAGGGATTCAAATGAACTTATCATATTGCAGGATTATTGAATACCTCGCGTAAGTGGTAATACAACCGGAATAGCGTTCTCAACATTGAATCGACATGTAACTCATTAATATTTATTAGAGGATGACGACGGTATTACTCGGGTAGGCTTTATACGACCCGGAAGACGGAATATCCGCGACAAGGACTTTATACGTTTCTCGCGTAATCCGGCTTACAGCGTGTTGACGATGTCCGGGGGAAGGAGGGGGGGAGGGAGAGGGGAGAGAGTCGCGAGGAAGATAAGCAAATGTATAATCGGGACTCCCTCGCGTAACGTACCTCGGGATAGATAATCGCGCAAGTCTGGAAACGACGCTTGAAACTTGTATCGTACGAGTATTCATAAGCAGATAGAAGGGACTAGTCATCTCTGAATAAATAGCGCGATACGACGAGGAGTCCTCGGATGGAAACGTCAGTCTCTGAAAATGTCGAAAACTCGTTTTTCGCACATCGATGGATAACTGTCGGGCATTTGAAGAATCCGACTATGAGAGATCATGCCTATGGATGTGTCAAGATCAGATGTCGGGACGCGTCAATCCCTTGTCCTGTTTTCATTTCTCTTTCTCCTCCTTCCCCCCCCCC